TTGCTTGAATCTGGGAGGTGGAGGTTGCAGTGAGCCAAGATCGCACCATTGCACTCCAACATGGGTGACAGAGCAAGACTCCATCTCAAAAAAAAAAAAAAAAAAAAAAAAAAAAAAAAAAAAAAAAAACCAGGATCCCATCCTTTTTGCCCCTTTTCAGTGATGTTCTTGAGGTCCCCTTTCTTGGTTTTGAAGTGGTTCATTTTTCTGGGGTAATACCCGAGGTTCGTTGCCCCATGCCAAGGAAATCAAGGACATGGACACACACATGGAGCGAGTTTAAGAGCGGAGGTTTAACAGGAAAAAGACAAAAGGAGAACAGTTCTGTCTCCTGTGAGAGAGGGAGCACCGGAATGGGAATTCCTGCAGTGGGGACTGCAGTGGGGACAGGGGACTCTCCGTCCCAGGGACGTGGTGGGTGGACCCTAGATCACTCCATTCTGCCTGTCCTCCCCCTCCCTACCTTCTCCTGCCTGAAAGTATTGGTGCTGTCCACCCTGTGGTGCTGAAGTAGCCCAGAAACCCAGTTTTGCTTGGCTGCCCCTCAGGCCATGACACCACGGCCAGTGGTCTCTCCTGGATCTTATACCACCTTTCAAGGCACCTAGAATACCAGGAATGCTGCCGGCAAGAAGTCCAAGAGCTTCTGAAGGACCGTGAGCCTATGGAGATTGAATGGTGAGTGCTGGTGCTGGCCCGTTCCTGATGTTTTCTCATTGGTTCTTCTCCTCAGGTGCGAAGCGGTGGAAGAGGTTTTTTAATTTTTTTTTTTTTGGGGGGGGGGTCATTTCTTCCATTATCACTTAGTGGGAATAGGTGCAAATCCCAGAGGCAGGGCTGAATACCCAGCCTGGCCAGCAGAGGATGGTTTACAGGGTTTTGGGACAGAAAGACCTGGGCTGCTGGGAGAATTGGTGACAGTATGCAAGGTCAGATGATGCCACTTAGCCTGTGTTCAGCAAATGAATTTCTCCTCCACCTCCTCTTTTCATTGAATTATCATTTTTTTCAAACATCTTCACTTCCTGAATGTTTGCTCTTTTGTACCCTAATTTCAATCCTGTTGCTCAGTCCAGGGATTTGTAAGGGATACCTGAGGGCAAAAGTCATTCATTCCCGTCCACAACACCTGCACCGTTCATCCATCCAGTCTTCATTCTGCAAACGCTCCCACACTGCATTCCCACCCCCAGTTTTGTTTCCAGCACCTTTCAGTGCTCTGGAGACCCTGGAAGAATCCAGCCCTGTGATCTGTTTTCCAGGTGCTCCCAGCCTGGTTGGGGAACAGTCCCAGGAGAGGAAACTCCCAGCCCACATGGGCGGGAATGAGGCTGAGAGTGAGAGAAGCATGACTGCGGGTACAGAAAGTGGGACTCTATGATACTTGGTTTTCCATTCCTGAGTTACTTCACTTAGAATAATGGTCTCCAGCTCCATCCAAATTGTTGCAAAAGACATTATTTCATTCCTTTTTATGGGTGAGTAGTATTCCATGGGGTATACATGCCACATTTTTTTCATCCACTCATTTGTCAGGGGGTACTTAAGACTGGTTTCCTCTTTGCAGTTGTGAATTGTGCTATTATAAGCATGCGTATGCATGTGTCTTTTTCATACGCTGACTTCTTTTCCTTTGGGTGGATACCTAGTAATGAGATTGCTGGATGGAATGGTAGGTCTACTTTTAGTTCTCTAAGGAATCTCCTTACTGCTTTCCACAGAGGTCGTACTAATTTGTATTCCTACCAGCAGTGTAAAAGTGTTCTCTTTTCACCACATCCAACATCTATTGTTTTTTGACTTTTTAATTATGGTTATTCTTACAGAAGTAGGGTGGTATCTCATGTGGTTTTAATTTGTATTTCCCTGATTAGTGATGAGTGTTTCAAAATGTGTTGGTTTGCTGTTTGTACATCTTCTTTTGAGAAATGTCTGTTCATGTCCTTTGCCTACTTTTTGATTGATTATTTATTTATTTATTGAGACGGAGTTATGCTCTTGCTACCAGGCTGGAGTGCAATGACGCTATCTCAGATGACTGCAAACTCTGCCTCCCGGGCTCAAGTGATTCTCCTGCCTCAGCCTCCCGAGTAGCTGGGATTACAGGCCTGCGCCACCACACCCAGCTAATTTTATATCTTTAGTAGAGACAGGGTTTATCCATGTTGGTAAGGCTGGTCTCGAACTCCTGACCACTGGTGATCCGCCTGCTTTGGCCTCCCAAAGTGCTGGGATTACAGGCATGAGCCACCACACCCAGCCAGGTTATTTATTTATTTAACTTGCTGATTTGTTGGATGTCCTTGTAGATTCTTAATACTAGTCCTTTGTCATATGCATAATTTGCAGATATTTTCTTCCACTGTGTGGGTTGTCTGTTTGCTGATTATTTCTTTTGTTATACAGAAGGTTTTGACTTTAATTAGCACCTATTTATTTATTTTTGCATTTGCTTTTGAGATCTTAGTCATGCATTCCTTGCCTAAGCTGACTTCCTCTTCTCTAATATTTTATTTTCAGATTGCACTACCTCTTCGTAATTTTTTTTCCCAAAAACATTTAGAGCAAGTTCTTCAAGTTGCTAAAAATAATCATTTGCACTGAATATATTCTCTTGTTTGACTTAAATATATGATTGATATGTGAAAAACAGGTAACATCATACTATTGACACATAGTTGGTCATAGTGAAATGGTTATTAATCCATTCAAATAATGTTTAAGCTTTTAATAAAGCTTAAAATATTTGCTTAGTCAACATATGCATGTTTTGTTAAATCAATCTTTTTATATATTCTTGCTATGGTGAAGTGTATCTTTTATTCAGACTGAGGGAAATGTATAAATTTATTTGAAATACAGAGACTTTGTCTCTTGTTAAATTTAATTCAGATATTTCATATTATTGTTAATATCTTATCTTTCATTATCTTTTTCAGCTGCTTGTTATTTCTACATGGGAAAACTGATAATTTATGCTTGTAAATGGAGTGCCAATGAACATAGTACATGATAAAGATGGTGTTTTGTATCAAGAGAAAAAATAGAGATTATTAGGTAAAAGTTTTTGAGACAGGGAAATTTTCTGGAATAAAAATGAACTCAACCTGGTTGTCACGTCTTATAATAAGACAATGTTCAGATTACTCAAGCATACAGTTTTTTTTAAAGGGTGTTAAAAGCTCGAGAGGAAACCATAGGAAAATTATTTTATAGATCCAGAGTACAGATAACCCTATTTTGATACAAGTCCCAGGGGCCGTACAAGAAAAGACTGACATACTGTTAAATGAGAAATGATATGGAATATGTGTATAGTAATTGATGTACTCATATTTTTATGATGCTAAAAATTAGCTCTAGAAAGATACATAGAAATAATAATAACTTAGGCAACCTGTGAGGAAAAGAAGCAGGTGACATTGGGCCATAGGGGTGGATGGATGATGTTTCATAGTTTTCAAATTTTGAACCACTTAAGTGTACAATGCACCACAGAAAAGAAAAAAAGATTACACAAATAATTCAGCTCCCTTACTGGATCTTAAATGTTTTTAAGTGTTTTTCAGTGAAGTGTCCTGTTTTTCTAAGTATAAAATCACCATCTGCCAGAATGATACATTATGTCCACATTTCAAATTCCTCTTTTTTTCCCCTTGCCTAGTTACATTTGCTAGTATCTCTAGTACAATGATGAATACGAGCAAAACACCAGATCTGGGTATTTTGTTTCTTACTCACTTGCATTTTGTGTTTGCTTTCTTACCATAAAGAACATTTACTTTTATGCAAATATGTTAACTTTTTTTAATAGCTGCTTCAGAGTGTTATGTTTTCCTCAGAATAATCTTTTAAAAATTGGCTACATTTTTTCCGGGTACTTTTCTAATTCTCTGCTTTCTAATTTTTTCTACTTTTTAAATTCTTCAATATTTCATCCATGTGGAATTTATTTTGTGATAGGGAGAAAAAGTCTCCCTCAGAAACAGAGAAGCTGGAGAATCCTGTGTTTGTTCCCTGGATAATGATTGGGGCTGGGTGTTTCCTTAGGGACGACTTGGCGAAGTTGCCCTTTCTGACCATGTGCATGAAGGAGAGCCTGCGGTTACATCCCCCAGTCCCAACCACCATCCGATGCTGCACCCAGGACATGGTGCTCCCAGACAGCCAGGTCATCCCCAAAGATGCTCACAGCCTCAGTGAGAGGAGTCTCCTGGGCAGGAAGAGGGGTCCCTCAGGCAGGGGGGCCTTGTCCTGACTGTCCCCGTCTCTCCCACAGGCGTTGCCTGCCTCATCAGTATTATCGGGATCCATCACAACCCAACTGTGTGGCCAGACCCCGAGGCACTGCCTCCCTCACCCCACCCTTTTCGGGGTCCATTCCAAGGCTCCTAGAGGATCTGACAGGCTTTTGACCAGGGAAATCTAACATCACCTCCCCTCAATGGACACATATCTGCCAAAATGTCTCTCCAAGGCTGGCAGACTTGGGAGACCCCACCCAGCAAACCTTCTTGGTCTCACCTCCAGGTCTACGACCCCTTCCGCTTCGACCCAGAGAACATCAAGGAGAGGTCACCTCTGGCTTTTATTCCCTTCTCAGCAGGGCCTAGGTAAGGGCGGCCTGTGTCTGAGGCGGGGATGAGGTGACGGGTGCGGGGGTCAAAAAAGGGGGAAGTTGCAGATGGTCCCAGATCCAGCTCTCCTTCTTTCCCTTCCTCAGGAGTTTATGGGCAACAGCCCACAGAGTGGGGTTGGGAAGGTCCTAGAGGGGTCTGCGGTGTGCTCAGAACCCCCTCCTCCATCTGCTGATCTGAACTGGGGGTAGGAGTCTGGGCCAGATTTAGGGGGTATGCAAGCACACATGGGTGTCCTCGGGACACGCAGCCCCTCTCTCTGCCCCTTGAGCTGATCAGGGTGTAAGTCGGGGTCCCAGGCCAGGTTCTAAGCATGATGGGGCCAGGATGGGGGGTCATGGGCACAGTCAGATTCCCTCACTTTCGTCCCCAGAAACTACATTGGGCAGGCGTTCGCCATGGCTGAGATGAAGGTGGTCCTGGCACTCACACTGATGCGCTTCCGTGTCCTGCCGGACCGCACTGAGCCCGGCAGGAAGCCGGAGATGGTCATGCGCGCAGAGGGTGGACTCTGGCTGAGGTCGGAGTCCCTGGGTGCGAACCCACGGTGACTGTCGGATCCACCCACCCACCTTTGTAGATTCCCAGGAATAAATCTATGCTGACGCCTCTGCTTAAGCCTCATTCACAGCCAGCATGGGGCTCCTGGGGACTGGTGGGATCCAAGAAAGCGGGGTGAGTGGGTGGGGGCAGGGTGATGTCTCTGAACCCAAAACCCTGACTGCCTTTCTGGCTGAGCATGGGGCACCTAGGCCCTTAATGGGTTCTCCCAGATCCCAAGTAAAAACTTTCTCCTGTGGGCAGTAGGGAGCCCTGGGAGGTGTTTGAGCAGGAGAGGGAGCAGGATTAAGAATGTATTTAAGGAGCAAGACTGAGACTCTTATTTAGCGAGAAGCAACCACAGGGGCAGATGCCTTCATCTGTCCTGGGAATGTCCCCGCAAGACTGGAGTCCCCAGCTCAGAACAAAGGGAATGGGGTTCAGTTTCCACCCTGGCAGGCTCTCAGAAATTTTTAGTTCCTTTTTCTGCCAACTTCCCACCCGTTTCTCCCCCTTCCAGTTGGTTCCCTCTGTGACTCTCTTCCCGTACCTTCAGAGGCATAGGATTTCAAGCCAGGCCGCTTGGGCTCAAGTCCTGGCCCTGCTGCGTGATTTGAGCAGGTTAATTCCTCTCTCTGTGACTCGGTTCCCTCAACCATATCATGGGGACAACAGTATTGCCTACATCTGGGTTTCCAGAGGTCTCAATATAAGGGACTCAGAACTGTGCCTGGCACACAATGAATGCTAAATATATGGGGCCATTATTATTTCCTCTCTCAGAAAGGCTGGCTGTTTAGGAATGTCGTCTTTCAAGATTGTTATTTCTACCATGACTTTAAAGGCTGTGTTTTGGAACTCAAAGGCAAAAATTCTAATATTGTGCTCTGTGAACAATCTCTTCTCCCTAAACGGTTGTGTATATAAGAGGTATTTTTTTTTTTCTGAGGGTGGTGAAGGCACCTGACTATGTGGGTGGTAGGAGAATGAGAGAAACCTCAGTTAGTGTCTCAGAATAATATCCTGCTGCAAACACTGATCTCTTTTCATAGCCTAAGGGATGTTACATCATGAACCCTGTTGACTTCTCTAATCTCTTCTCTAGCTAATCTCCTGCCCTTTCTACACTCAGTTACTCTGGCCTTGATTCTGATCTCAAAATATATTATTTTTTCTCATTTGGGGCCGCTGTATTGCCTTTGCATCTTCATCATAGATAAGTTGACTATATTTGTGTGGATCTATTTTGGGGGCTTTTAATTCTGTCCCATTGACTATCTGTCTTTTCTTTCACCAATGCAACAACACCTTGGTTACTGTAGCTTCACAGTAAGTCTTGACGTTGGATATTGTCTGTCCTCCAACTGTGTTCTACTGCTTCAAACATTGTGTTGGCTATTCTGAGTCACTTGTCTCTCTATATAAATTTTAGAATTAGATTGCTGATATCCATTAAAAAATTTCTGATATTGTCATTGTGATTTCATTGAATCTATAGATTTAGTTGGGAAGAACTGACATCCTGACAATATTGAGTTTTTTGTCTTACAAGACATGCTGAAGGGAGTCCTGCATCTGGAAGTGAAAAGAGGACGATTACCATCATGAAAACATGCAAAAGTATAAAATCCACTGGCAAAGCAGATACACTTATAAGAAAAGAATCAAATCTTGTTACTATAGAAACCACCAAACCACAATCAGAAACAATAAGAGAGGAAGAAAGGAATAAAAGATATACAAAATAACTAGAAAAAATTAATAAAATGACAGAAGCATGTTCTTTTGCATAATAACTTTCAATGTAAATAGATTAAATCCTTCACTTAGAATATATAGACTGGCCGAATGGGTTTTTTAAGTGACCCAACTATGTGCTTCCTACAAGAAACTCACTTTACCTGTCAAGAAACATACAGACTTAAAGTGAAGAGATGGAAGAAGGCATTCTACCCAAGTGGAAACCAAAAGCAAATAGGAGTAGCTACGTTTATATCAGATAAAAATAACACAGACACGGGTAACTTCAGCAAGAGCATCTAACAGTAGGAAACATATATGCACTTAGATATAGAAAACAAATATTATACATCTGAAAGGAGAGATAGACTCCCATACAATAGTAGTTGTGGACTTCAATAACCCACTCTCAACACTGGACAGGTCAACTAGATGGAAAGTCAACAAAGATACATTGTATTTAAATTTCACTTTAGACCAAAGAGACTTAACAGACATTGACAGAATAGTTCATGCAACAGCTGCAGACCACACATTTTTTTCATTAGCACATGGAAAAAGCTGGATACACCGAACATTGGGCTACAAAGCAAGTCTCAACAAATTTGAAAGTACTGAAATCACATCAAGTATACTTTCTGATGGCAAGGAAATAAAGATTGAAATCAATAACAAAAATAACTTTCAAAATCATACAAATACATGAAACTTAACATGCTCTTGCACAACTAATGGATTAATAAAAAATTAGGAAGGGCATTTAAAATTTCTTGAATCAAATGAAAGTTTAAATGCAATATATTAAAAGCTATGGAATACAGCAAAAGCAGTATTAAGAAGGAACTTTATAGCCATAAACACCCACATCAAAAAAAGTAGGAAGATTTCAAATAAATAATCTAATGATGCACCTCTAGGGACTAGGAAAGCAAAAGCAAATGAAACTCAAGTTAATAGAAAAAAATGAAATAATAAAGGTTAGAGAAAAAATAAATTGAAAGTAAAAATAAAATACAAAAGATCAATAAAACAAAGAGTTGGGCTTGTAATAAACAAGATCAACAAGCATTTAGCTAGACCAAGTAAGAAAAAAAAGACTCAAATAAATGAAATCAGAATTGAAAAAGGAGACATGACAAGTGATACCACAGAAACACAAAGAATCATTAGAGTCTATTACAATTGACCTTTAGCCAGCACATTGGAAAACCTAGCAAAAAATATATAAATTCTCGGGCACATAAAACCTATAAAGAAGGAAACAAAAAGAAACAAAAAATTTAAACAGACTAATTACAAGTAATAAAATATAATCAGTAGTAAAAAATCTCTCATCAAATTAAAGCCCAGGACCTGATGGCTTCACTGCTAAATTCTACCAAACATTAAAAAAAAAAAAAAAAAAAAAGACTTAATACCAATTCTTCTCAAACGATTTTGAAAATCAAAGAAGAGGGAATTCTTCATAAGTCATTCTATGGAGCCAGCATTATCCTTATACCAAAACCAGAATGGGACAGAAGAAGAAAAGAAAAAACAGACTGCTATCTCTGATGAATATAGGTGCACAAATTCTCAATAACATACTAGCAAATTAAATCCATCAGCAGACTACAAAGATAATTTACTATGATCAAGTGAGATTTATCCCAGAGATGCAAAAATGTTTTGATATATTCAAATTAAAAATGACATCACATCATATTTATTGAAGAGCAACAGAGTGAATGGCAAAAACCATATGATCATCTCAATAAATGCAGGAAAAGCATTTGATAAAAATCAGCGTTTCTTCATGATAAAAACATTCAACAAAGTAGGTATGGAAAAACAAAACAAAAACAAAAAGTAGATATGGAACAAGCACACATAACATAAAGGATAGGCATGACAAATCACTGCCACCATCATACAAAATGGGGAAACACTGAAAGCTTTTCCCTTAAGAACTGGAACAAGAAAAGTATGCCCACTTTCAACACTTATATTCAAGATAGTGCTGGAAGTCTTAGCTGGAGAAATCAGGCAAGAGAAAGTAATAAAGGGCTAGGATGTCAAATTTTCCCTGTTTAAAGATGACATAATATGTGCATAGAAAACCCTAAGAGCTCCACCAAAACACTCTTAGAACTGATAAATTCAGTAAAGCAGCAATATTCAAAATCAACATACAAAAATCACTAGTGTTTCCATACACAAATGACGAGCTAGCAGAAAAAGAAAGAAAGCAATGCCATTTACAATAGGTGCATATGTGTGTATATAGTATTCAGGAATAAATTTAACCAAGTAGTTGAAAGATCTCTGCAAGAAATACTATAAAACACTGATGAAAGACATGGAAAAGGTCACTAAAAAATGGAACATCATCCCATGTTCATGGATTGGACGAAATAATATTGTGAAAATGACCCTACTACTAAAGCAATGTAGTGATAGAATTCAATTCCAATCAAAATATCAATGAGATTCTTCACAAAAATACAAAAAATTCTAAGATTCATGTGGGATCACAGAACACCCCCCAAATAGCCAAAGCTGTCCTGAGAAAAAATAACTTAGATGAAGATATTACACTACCAACTTCAAATTATATTACAATGCTATAGTAACCAAAACCATATAGTACTGGTATAAAAAGAGATACATAGGCCAATGGAACAGAACAGAGAACCCAGAAATAAATCCATGAATTTAGAGTCAACTAATTTTTGACAAAGTTGCAAAGACCATTCAGTTAGAAAGAAACAGTCTCTTTAATAAATAGTACTGAAAAAACTGGATCTTTATATTTAGAAGAATGAAACTAGACCCCTATCTCTCACCCCATTCAAAAATCAAATCAAGATAGATGTGTTAGGTAGGGTTCTGTAGAGGAGTGGAACTAATAAGATAGATGTATGAACCCCACTCCTGGTACCAAAATCAGTATTAGTCAGGGTTCTCTAGAGGGACAGAACTAATAGGATAGATGTATGAACCCTACTCCTAGTACCAAAATCTGTATTAGTGCTCTTTAGAGGGACAGAACTAGTAGGATAGATGTATATATAAAAGGGGGCTTATTAGGGAGTATTGAGTCACACGATCTCAAGGTGAGGTCCCACAGTAGGCTGCCTGCAAGCTGAGGAACTATGAAACCAGTGCAAGTCCCAAAGCTGAAGAACTTGGAGTTTGATGTTCAAGGGCAGGAAGCATCGAGCAAGGAGAAAGATGTAGGCTGGGAGACTCAGCCAGTCTAGTCTCTTCACCTTTTTCTGACTGCTTTTATTCTGGCTGTGCTGGCAGCTGATTAGATTGTGCCCACTCAAAGGGTGGCTTTGCCTTTTTC